TTTTGGGGGTTTTTTTGGGGAGGATTTTGGGGATTTTTGGGTGGTTTTGGGGGTTTTTGGTTGTTTTTGGTTTTTTTGGGGCTCTGAGCTCTCCCCTCCCCCGCAGCCCCTCAGGGCGGCCCCGCCCCCCCCGGGACCCCTCCGGACGCGGCCCCGGCGGAGCCCGAGGAGCTCGAGTGAGTTTTTTGGGGGGTTTCGGCTTTTTGGGGTGGGGGTCTCGGACTCGCCGAGGGGTTTTGGGGTCCCCGACCCCCCCCCCCCCAACCTCGGCTCTCCCCAGTTTCCCCCAGTACGAACTGGGCCGCCCCCCCCGCCCGGTTTGGGGGGCGCGGGAGGAATTCGCGCGGCGCCCCGAGAATTTCCTGCGCGGCTGCAAATGGTGAGAGACCCCAAAACCCCCCAAAACACCCCGCAATCACCCCGAAATCACCCCAAAACTCCCCAAAACCCCCAAAATCACCCCGGAATCACCCCAAAACCCCCAAAACCACCCCGAAATCACCCCGAAATCACCCCAAAATCACCCCAAAATCACCCCGAAATCACCCCAAAACCCCCCGAAATCACCCCAAAACTCCCCAGAACCCCCAAAATCACCCCGACACCACCGCAAAATCACCCCGAAATCACCCCAAAACTCCCCAGAACCCCCAAAATCACCTCAAAATCCCCCAAAACTCCACAGAACCCCCAAAATCACCCCAAAGTCACCCGAAAACCCCCCAAAACACCATCAAAATCACCCCAAAATCACCTCAAAATCACCCCAAAAGCCCCCAAACTCCCCCAAAATCCCCCAAACCCCTCGGGGGGAGATCTGGGGTCCCCTGGGGGTTCCTTGGGGGGTTTGGGGGTCCCCGGGGTTCCTGGGGAGGCGTTTGGGGGTCCCCAACTCCCGGGGGTTCCTGTGGGTTATTTTGGGGTCGCCTTGGGGTTATTTTGGGGTGACAAGGGGGGTTGTTTTGGGGTTATTTTGGGGTCCTTGGGGATTATTTTGGGGTCCCTTAGGGGCTTTTATTTTGGGGTCCCTGGGGGCTGTTTTGGGGTTGTTTTCGGGCTGTTTTGGGGTCTCTTGGGGCCGTTTTGGGGTGACCCGGGGGTCCCTTAGGGGGTTTTATTTTGGGGTTCCTGGGGGCTGTTTTGGGGTCCCTGGGGGCTGTTTTGGGTTTGTTTTGGGTTTGTTTTGGGGTTGTTTTGGGGTCTCTTGGAGCAGTTTTGGGGTCACAATGGGGGTCCCTTAGGGGGTTTTATTTTGGGGTTCCTGGGAGCTATTTTGAGGTCCCTGGGGGCTGTTTTGGGGTTGTTTTGGGGTCTCTTGGGGCTGTTTTGGGGTGACCCGGGGGTCCCTTAGGGGGTTTTATTTTGGGGTTGTTTTGGGGTCTCCTGGAGCAGTTTTGGGGTGACACGGGGGGTCCCTTAGGGGGTTTTATTTTGGGGTCCCTGGGGGCTGTTTTGGGGCTGTTTTGGGGCTGTTTTGGGGTGACACGGGGGTCCCCCCAGGGCCCCCGACGGCTCCTGCGTCCTCACCTGCAGCAACGACAACGCCCTGAGGATCTTCGACCTCCCCCTCCCCCCGCGGCCCCCCCCGGGGGCGCCCCTCCCCCAGCTGGTGGGGGAGGGCTCGGGGGGGGCTGGGGGTGTCGCTTTTGGGGG